GGGGGGGGGGGAGAGACTTGAGATCACGTGAGACCAGTCTGTTTTCATGAGATCACTTTTTTACACTTGGAATTTCACAATAAAACGTTGTGAAAGTAACATTCACAGTGTTTTTGCTGTGAAAGTTCAATTTTTTTTCTTCACAACATTTTGCCGTGAAGTTTCAAATGTAAAAAAATGGTTTCCCGAGTCTCACAAAAACATATTAATCTCATATGAATCCAACTCTATATATATATATATATATATATATATATATATAAAAGATCATGTCAAAGATAATATAAATTAACCCGTGATTAAATTTTGAATATTCAAATACTAACTAATAACAAATACTTCATCCGGTTCCATGCTTTGAAAATTTTAAAACATTCAAATCCTTGTATTTATATTATATTATAAATTATTTGACAAAAACATTTAAAAACCATTTTTATGCATGAAATATTGTTTATTGATGTATATTATTTAAAATTCAAGATTACAAGTAAATTGTGCATAAGTATAACTTATTAAAGCTTCATGTTTGAATTCATGTAACTAACTTCAGATAAACATCTCATTTTAAATATAAAAAATCTAAAATATAATCAAGATAATAATTGAATTCTAACAAAATACTTAATTATTATCCTTATAAAAAACTATATTATTAAACCAAAAATAAAAAAATGAATTAAAGAAATACACAAAAAAAGAATTTTAAATAGCTAGCTTGATACCAATATTAATATTTTTTTAAAAAATTTTATGATATATCTTTACATTTATATTTCATTTAAAAACAAAAACATTATCGTTTTCTCAAAACCACATAAAATCGTATTATAACATCGACCGAGACAAAAATAATAATAAAACAAAATATTAAAATCGAGATGTATTTTACTGCATTACTCTAATACCCATTGCTCAAATACCCTTTTAGTACTTATAAAAACAAGTATTTTCGTATCTAAGTAAATTTATATTTCGTTAATGTTATGTATAAATCTTGTACAACCTAATTAATTAGACAAGACAACCTAACAAAGGGGATCTAATTTTTGCCCCCATATCTCCTAAACAGTTTGACTACAAACCCTAAAACCAAATTCAGATCCATAAATTATGAACCCTCATATTGTTTAAGAACTGAAATTCACCATTGTTTTTGGATCTGAATTCCCATTCAATTCTTCTAAGATGGATATGAATCAACTGAATCATGGAGCATACAAGAAGATTTCTTCCAAACCCTAGAATGCATCTTTAGAATCTCCCTTGCTCTCTCCTTCATCTTGCTTCCGCAATCTACCTGCAACACCAACAGAAGTTTCCCCACCACCCCCAACTGCATCATCTCTTGTACAACATGACTGTTGCCGGAAAACATCGCCACCGAATACAATATCCTCACCGCCCTCTCGCTCGCCTCTGATGAAACACGGAAGATCTTCTTGGAAACCACCGCTAAACCACCGCCATGTTTCAGAAGATCTGCCCGTCCTTCTGCAGACCGACAAATCTGTTCCAAAACCATGATAACCATCTCGGAGACTCGTTTTTCCGGGCAGTCGAGAAGGATGTCGATCAACACCGGCACCGCCCCTGCCTCCGCCCCTCTTATCCTATTCCGCCCCCATGGACAGACGTTGATGAGCAGCTTCAATGTTGCTTTTGTTGCCTTTTCGGAGATTTGATCAACCAGGATTTGTACCAACTCCGTGAAGAATCTAGGGTTTAACGCCGTCATTTGCGTTGGCTCCGCCACCTCGAACATCGATTTCAGTAACATGACGGCGTAGGCACGTGACTCGTAACAGGTGGCGCGTTGCATCATGGTCGTCAACGTCTCGACGAAATCTTCTGTATTTCCAAACAAGGATTTAAGACCAGTTTGTGATAGCTGAAGATGGTAAAGAATGGTTAACGCTTCGTCGGCTGCGGTTAAACCGTCCACGCCAGAAACTTCTCCTACCGGTGAGGATGACGTCACGTTGTTTAAGATGGAAACAAGGTGATCAGCTGCTCCAACTGATTTCATCACCCGTTTGTTCTTTTCATTCTCCATAACAATCGTTTTCAACCTCTTCAAACTATTCATTTGCATCTGGGGAGACTTCGAACTCTTGAGGAGTTTTACGATTTCAGTTCTGGAGGTTGAAGGGCGTGGCGTCGGGAACCTTTCGACACCAGATGATGCATTAAGGGTGCACCAAGATTGGATCAAACGACGAAGGGTGTGGTTCGGGGTGAGCTCGATATCAACCACGACTTGTTTCGTCACGGGACAAACGTCATTCTTTTGAGAAAACAACCATTTCTCGATGCTGTCATGATCATATGTGATCCCGGTAGAGAGCGTTACAGGATCCTTCATGATCTCAAGTGAAATCGGGCACAAGAAATATCGAGGAACTTCAACCTCATTTTCGAGATCACCCATTTCCGAATCAAGAATTCGAAGAAAACCCAGAGAATAATATGGAAAAAAGATGAAGAAATTAGAGTTCTCGATTATATATGAAAGTAGAGAGCTTTTGTTTTGGTGAATATAGGGTTAGGGTTTGGTTTATATATGAGTTTTAAGGGGGGAAATTAAATGAATTTGGAAAATAGAAAAAGTCAACCCAAGATAAAATGTTTGACTTTTGGAAGAGGAGAAGCTCAAAAATGACAACTCTCAATTTGGTCATTAATACATGTGGGATAAATATAAAGATACCCCAAGTGTGGCTTATGGAGTGCATCTTTTTCAATATAATTTTCATTTGGCCCCTTGTAGTTTTAAAACCTTACATATTAAGCACTAAAGTTTGAGATTTTTCGAATTATACTTTATTTCGAGAATTATTCTCTTATTTTCTTTTTAACGAACAAATAGATACATATGACTTATTTTAAGCGTTATATCTAAAAATGTTAATTATAATAAACTTGTAAAACATTTTTGGATGTTGTAACAAGTTTTTTAGAACATTTTTAAAAATAAACTGTTGTATTAAATAATTTGAGGGAAACATTTTTTGAAAAATGCCTTGTAATTTTTTTTATAGTACATTTTTTCAAATAATGTCCTATAAAGTAGTTAATACGATACTTTTTTTTAAAAAAAAATTCCTAAAAACTTGTAACAACGTCCAAGAAGAATTCATATAAACTTATTGTAACATTTTTATATATGACACTTAATTTTTAAGTTTTATAAAATTAAGTCCTATAAAACACTCTATTAGTTAAGATGCCGACGTTTAGGGCGTCCAATAAGCTTAATTTTGTGTAGTGACTGAAAAAAGCACAATTGTATGTTTCTGAAACTAAAAGAAATAGAAAAAACTAATTAAACTAACCATTTGCAGACTTCTAATTCATCTCTCATAACATGTCAAAAATGTCGCTAAATATATCTCCACAAGTAGAAATTCCACAACTTAAGATGGAGTTGAAGTATAAAAAAATTAGTTTCTGAACTAGGTCCGCAAGTGAAGAGACCAAATCTATAAATTGGTCACACCACTTCCACAAGTGGCAGAAGTGCCACTTGCGACCCTTTATCTAATTTACATATTTGGTACTCTATTTATGGACCTTGTTCAAAAACTCTTTTTACATTTTGACCCCTTCATAAATTGCGGAAGTGTCATTTGTGAAAGTAGTGATATTTTTAAAATTTATGAAGAGAAATAGCTAAAAAATAAATTTAAAACATGAAAATATCTGATATAAACAACTGTAGTTAAGCATATAGTCAATTGTAGCTACATGAGGTTCTGGACATTACACAAAAACCAAATTTCACGTCGGTTAGAAAATCGGGATGTTACTCGTTTATTTTTAATTATTTTTTTAATATAAAATTAATCGTAACCAAAATAAATTGTGTAAAAAGAATATAGAAAATGAAATTTAATTGATTATATATTAGTAGTGGACGATGACTGGTTGAATGGTACGACGGTGGCGAAATCAGCAATTAGTCGAAACCTTCTTTAACGAAAAAGCAAGTGGTCGGTCAATATGGGCTACCCAGCATCTAATGCTTGCTATATTCTCTTCCTTTCTTTCTATTAACATACATTTAATCATTTTATATGTATTAATTTATTAAAATTTCAGTCATGATGATAAAAATAGATAAATAAAAATACTTTAATATATATATATATATATATATATATACACACACATATTTTTATGTAGGTGAAGGATCGTGTAAGAATAAGAATTAAGTTAAGTGTAAGAAGTGATCTAGACCCTTGATCACCTTTTATCTTAAATCCACCGATGAATCGCGCTTGATACAAAGATTGATCTCGGTCCATCTCATACTAATGCGTATTTAAGGGTAAAGATCATTTATTACTTGTGTTTATGTAAATGTATATGTATGTGTGTGTGTTAGTGTTTTCAATAATACAATAAAACAATATAAATTCATAGTAAGTTGTAAAAAAGTACCACTTATATTAAATTTGTAGAACTTATAAAAAAATGATATCAAGTACAAAATCAAGATTAAATCACTAGTCAATATTTTTTCCAATCTTCAACGAATTTTCGATATAATTATAAAAATATTATATTTTTATACATTTAATTTGAATATTTTTTCATTTATTAGAAAGAATAAAAATTATTTTTAATTTGGAGAATTTTATTTCTATTTTATATTTTCTCCAAAATTTTAAATTGAAAATTTCAGCAGTTATGTGAGAGAGAGAGAGAGAGAAGTTGACTTTTATAGAAAGAAAAGTCAAAGATAACCAGTGGATACAGGGAGACAACCAGTTCCATCTTATCATCACCACTTCCTCCATTATCACAACAAAAAGGAAAAATTCAAAAATTTAATATCTAATAAATTATTTAAAATAAAAATAAAATAATATTTTATAAGTTGCATCGAATATTTTGATAATATAATAAATTATGTAATCTTCAAAATAGAGAATATGATGGAAATGAGAATTTTTTTTGGAGATTTTAGTTTTAATTTCTGTATTTTAAAGAAAGAATATGTTGGAAATGTTCTGGTAATCTAGTTTTTATAATCTTGGATTTATGAAAAATCCTTAAAAGTTTAAGGGTTGAAAGTGTAAATTTTGGAACCAAGAAGGTCTTATACTTTCACACCCTAAAAACACTCATGAAACACACCTTGAGAGCTTCTCAATCAAAGTCAAACATTTTATGCGTGTTGACTTTTCTTTTTTCAAACTTTATTTGTTCTCAAACTCATATAAAACCAACCCCTCTCTACTCTTTGCCATCAAACATAACCAATTTTCACCTCTACTTTCATATACAATCAAACAACCCTTTAATCCATTTTTCTTATAAATTCAAGGGTTTTCTTCAAGATCCAAAAATGGGTGATCTTGAAAATGATCATATTGTCGAAGTTCCCACCTTTTTTCTGTGCCCGATTTCGTTGGAGATCATGAAAGACCCTGTAACGCTCTCCACCGGAATCACATATGATCGTGATAGTATCGAGAAATGGTTGTTTTCTCACAAGAATGACGTTTGTCCAGTAACCAAACAAGTGGTTGTCGATATCGAGCTCACTCCAAACCACACCCTTCGACGATTTATCCAATCTTGGTGCACCCTTAACGCATCTTCGGGTGTCGAAAGATTCCCAACGCCACGGATTCCGATCTCCAAAACTCAAATCCTAAAGCTCCTCAAAGATTCGAAGTCTCCAAAGTTGCAAATCAGTAGTTTGAAGAGATTGAAAACGATTGTTATGGAGAGTGAGAAGAACAGGCGGTTGATGGAGTCAGTAGGAGCAGCTGATTACCTAGCGTCCATGATTTCAAGAAACGTCAATAACATTAACGTTACGTCATCATCACCGGCCGGAGAAGTTTCCGGTGCAGATGGGATTGATGAAGCGCTTAGCATTCTTTACCACCTTAAGCTATCACCATCTGGTCTGAAGTCATTGTTAACTGGAGATTTCGTGGAGACGTTGACGAGCGTGATGCAACGCTCCACCAGTTTCGAATCACGTACTTACGCCGTGATGTTACTTAAATCAATGTTTGAGGTGGCGGAGGAGCCGATGAAAGTGACGTYGCTAARYYCTCGRTTMTTCGAAGAGTTAGTACGAATCTTGGTTGATCAAATCTCCCAAAAGGCAACAAAAGCAACACTGAAGCTGCTCATCAACGTTTGTCCATGGGGGCGGAATAGGATAAAGGGGGCAGAGGCAGGGGCGGTTCCGGTGTTGATCGACACCCTCCTGGATTGTACAGAAAAGAGAGTCCCGGAGATGGCTATTATAGTTTTGGACCACCTTTGTCAGTGTGCGGAAGGACGGGCGGATCTGTTGAAACATGGCGGTGGTTTAGCCGTGGTTTCAAAGAAGATCTTCCGTATGTCGGCGGTGGGCAGCGAGAGAGCGGTGAGGATATTGTACTCGGTGGCGATGTTCTCCGGCAACAGTCATGTTCTACAAGAGATGGTGCAGTTGGGGGCGGTGAGAAAACTTCTGTTGGTGTTACAGGTAGATTGTGGAATGAAGATGAAGGAGAAAGCAAAGGAGATTCTGAAGATGCATTCTAGGGTTTGGAAGAAGTCTTCTTGTGTTCCCAATCATTTGATTTCTTCATATCCATCTTAGAAACAAGAATTTTCATGAAAGAAAAGGGAAATGAATTTTAGAGTGAATTTCCTTTTAGAAGATATGGGGGCAAAAGTTAGATTCCCATTTAGGGTTTTCTTTTATTTTCTAGAGGATTTTATACTTAATTTTTAATTGGGGTTTTTATGGAAATCTGTAAATCTCACTAATTGGATGAGTTACAAGTAGATAACTACGATAACTATCAGTTCTGATCTATCTCTAATATGTTTACTTCTATTTATATCTTTATTTTTATCGTCATATCCTTTAGACAATGACATATTTATCATACAACAAAATTGAAAAAATCTGTAAATTAGAAAAAAAAATGTAGTATAAATGTGTGAAGAAGATGTTACTCAAAGATTCTCATACCATATATCATTTAAAATTTAAAATTGGTTCTCGGTGTTCTCGTAGCTTCGTTTGTAGCTATACTATATTATAAAGCATTTGATAAAAAAATTTAATTAAAAATTATTTTTTATACATGAAGTATCGTTTATTGATATATATTACTTAAAATTCAAGATTATAAATAAACTATGGATAAGTACAACTTATTAAAGATTTATGTTTGAATTCGTGTAACTAACAGCAGATAAACATAGTGAAATACAAAATAAACACTTCATTTTAAATATAAAAAATCTAACAGAATATTTAATTATTATCCTTATAAAAAATTATATTATTAAATAAAAAATAAATTAC